TTGGCCTTTCAGGGAATGTGGAAAATTAGTCATTCTGCTATGACAGGCCGGTTTTCACTCTTTGCCTAATCTTAAATCTTGTATAAATGTGCAATGAAAAGTTAATTTTTTTAAAGAAAGAAAATACATTTTTAAATATATTGCTTTTAAACTTGATTTTGCTGTGAATATTCATTGATTTATAATGGTATTTCTTAGGTTATATTGAAATTTGATTTTACTCTAAGAGTGGATAAAGAACATTCAGGTGTAAGAGGACTAAGTAGAGTTGTTTTGAGTTTTCATATTCCCTCTTTAATTATTAAGGGCAGGACCTGGGACACAGGCTAATTAATCATCTGTGATTTGAGAGAGCCATAGATGATTTTGAATGTCCCAGATACAGAAATCTGATATTATTTTCTTAAAAGACATCTTTAAAATAATCATGCTTTCTAAAATACGGTTGGTTTACAAATGATAGCTTGGTATGTTGAGTATATTATGAATAATTTTGTTTGATTTGTAACCATGGGATACAAGATTGGGTCAATGTGCATTCTTTGTAATCACAAATGGTAGTTCAGTTTTACTTTCTTTTAAAACTAAGTGGAAGTAAAGGGCGTATTTGGTGAAATTTATGAGAAAATCTTGCTGGGACATTCCATACATGCAGCACTAATGGCAGCATACCATCTAAATTCTAGTACATAAATCAATACCCTACTGAACACTTTCTGTGTAAATTATTCTTTCAAAGAAAAAAAATTAAAACATGCTGATGGATAAAATACAGTAGATGCTCAATAAATTCTATTATATTTAAAGATTATAGGAACACATTTTGTTGCATTAGGTAAGTGTGCCCTTACACAAAGCCTGATACCTGATAGTTGTTATTTTAAAATACTGTGATAACTTCACATCAGTACAGTGTGACCGTATAGCCCCTGCCACAGCCACCATAATGGTATTGTGATAGAGTTCACTGTGTTATTTACTTTATACAAGAAAACTGGTCTATATAAGTCAAGGTTTTTAGTTTCTACTGAATTTACTCATCTTATTCCTATAACAACAAAAAACCCTAACAGTGATTTCCAAAGGGAGTTTCTTGTATCACTAATTTTTTATAAATTGTAGAAGTGAAACAAGTGTCTTTCCTGTGTGAAGTTAAGGGCTTTACTACACTGCCCTAGAAGATCTCAATCAGATTTCCTCACTTTATTTAATAGTTTCTTCTCAAAGCATCAGTGGGACTAGAATTCAGAAGCACCCTTTGCAACATGCTTAGATTAATTTGAGTAATCTGGTGATAAAACACTTCAAGAATGGAAGAAAAACAGATGAATCTGTATTCTTGTAATTTTAGTACTTATTTTTATAAGAGGAAAAGTGCATCTAACTTCATCTTTATCTTAAGAGATCTTGCCAGTCCTGGTGAGGTAGCTCAGCTGGATGAAACATTGTCCCTTGAGGTTGCAGATTCCATTTTTGGTCAGGGCACATAGAGGAGGTAGCCAATGAATGAATGCATCAATGAGTGGAACAAACACATTGATGTCTTTCTCTCTGTAAAAGTCAAGTAAAAATAAAGATCTTTTCCAAAGTAATTTCCATTTCTTTTTTGTTTTGTTTTTTAATCCTCACCTGAGGACATGTTGGTTATTGATTTTAGAGAGAGAGGGGGAGAGAGAAAAACATCTGTTGGTTGCCTCCCCCTTGTACCCCAACCAGGAACTGAACTGGTACCTAGGTGAGTGGCCTGGCCAGGGATCGAATCCCCAAACTTTTGGTGTACTGGCTGACACTCCAACCAGCAGAACCACCTGGCCAGGGCTCTTCGTTTCTTTTATGCACCGTTTCTGAAAAATGAGATGAACAAAAATCACTTTTGAAAACACAAAAGGAATAATTCCTGAACTAAAATAGATTTGAAAGCATCTTATGTCCAGTTTTACTTGCAAATAATTTTCCTTTCAGAGTATCAAATTGCCTTTGATAAGTTGTTTATGGTTTGTAAAAGCACTAAATGACAATGCAGATCTTTTACCAGGAAAATTTTATTCTTCATGTATTACTGTGAGCAGGCTGTATGACCAATCAGCACTGTTGGTGGAGGTATAACTGAACTTCCTGACTGACATCTATGGTCACTTTAATGGTAAAAATAACATCATAATACATGTTACCTGAAGGTAAGTATTACATCTCACATGCTGTGAAAGCAATTGCAACTTCTAAAGTTTAAAAAGATATGTTTCAAACCAAAATTTTGTTTTAACATGACTTGTAAATTATAGGTCAAGGCAGTCTCCTATGTTTTTTATACTTCTGTGAAAAATGTACCATCATAAAAATTGGTTCTTGGTTCATGTTACTGATTTTAATTTGTTTTATGTATTTTCTTTCCTGCTTCTTTGCTAAGTTATGCCTGGTTTTGAAATACTTGGTTTAGTAGGCTTGTCATCAGTTCAGAGCTATCAAAATAAAAGTAATGCATGGGTTGCTATAGGCCAGGAAACAGTATCCATAATGGAAATTATGGTACCCCTCAAGTTGTAAGCCTGTGTTGTGTACTATTACTATTTGGCAGTTGAGTCATTTATTTATATCCTCAACTTATGCCAGAAAGGATCTAAGGCAATTGTACAGAATATGTAAAACAGCACAGTAATGAAATTGATAAAGAAAATGAAGGAGAGGAAGGCAGGAACATAATATAGATGGATTGCCTTCCAGATTGGAAAATATATCACTTATGATTTGGTAATTGCCAGGTTTAACAAATGCTTTTTATGTGCCAGGCACTTTGCTAGAGGGTTTTTTTAAAGTATAGTTTATTGATTATGCTATTACAGTTGTCCCTGTTTTTCCCCCTTTGCCCCTCTCTGCCTGGTACTCCCCTCCAGCAACACCCTCCCCCCTTAGTTAATGTCCATGGGTCATGCATATAAGTTGTTTTCTCCATTGCCTGTACCATTCTTAAGCCCCAACCTCTGTCTATTTTGTACCTACCCAATTACACTCTAAATCCCTGTACCTTTACCCCTTCCTCCCCTGTCCCCCTCTCAGCTCATAACCCTCCAGATGATCTCCATTCCTGTTCTAATTGTTTACTTAGTTTTTGTGTTATTGATAATTGTGCTTGTTGTCATTTTAATGTCCATTATCTTGATTTTTTTCTTAAATATGTCCCTTTAACATTTCATATTAAGGGCTTGGTGATGATAAACCAAAGATGTCAGTCAGGAAGTTCAGTTATACCTCCTTTAGCTTTACCTTGTCTGGGAAACTATCTATTCTTACATTCTAAATGATGGATTTGCTAAATAGAGTGATCTTGGTTGTAGGTCCTTGCTTTTCATCACTTTGAATACTTCTTTCCAGCCCCTTCTTGCCTGCAAATTTTCTTTTGAGAAATCAGCTGATAGTCTTCTGGAAACCCGTTTGTAGGTAACTCCCTGCCTTTCTCTTGCTGTTTTTAAGATTCTCTCTTTATCTTTAACCTTTGGCATTGTAACTATGATGTGTCTTGGTGTTGACCTCTTTTGGTCCAACTTGTTTGGAACTCTGTGGTTCCTGGACTTGTATGTCTATTTCCTTTGCCAAATTAGGGTAGTTCTCTTTCATTATTTTTTCAAGTAAGTTTTCAATTTCTTATTCTTCCTCTTCTCGTATCCCTATGGTTTAGATGTTGGCCCTTTTGGACATGTCCTAGAGTCTTATTAAACTCTCCTCATTTTAAAAAAAAGTTGTTCAAGTACAGTTTTCTGCTTTTTACTCCCATCCCAGCCCCCCCCCCCATTTTTTTTTTTTAATTCTTGTTTTTTATTTCTGTTCTGGTTGAATGTTTATTTCTTTTGTTCCAAATTGTTGATTTGAATCCTGGCTTCCTACCCTTCACTCTTGGTTTCGTATGGATATTTCTTTATTTCTCTTAGTATAGGTTTTCATTTCTTCCCTTATGCTTTTGCCTTATTCACTGAGATCTCTGAGCATTCTGACCACACTTATGTTTTGAACTCTGTGTCTGATAGGTTGGCTATCTTGGAATCACTTAGTTCTTTCCCTGGGGTTTTCTGTTCTGTTCCTTCATTTGGGCCATATTTCTTTGTCTCATTTTGGCACAGGGAGGGCAGCCTCCCTATGTCTATGTAGTAGGTAGAGCAGCTTTGATTTCCTGTCTTGGCTCACCTGTTAAAGTTTTATGGGGCAGAGCCTTGGGTGTTGCCAGGGTGAGGCAACCTGCTTAGAAGCTTGGTGGCTCCGTGGGGGGGGGGGGGGGGGGAGGGTTGGAGAGGGAACCATGCTGCTGGTGGCAGACTTCTGTGGACTTGCCTATCACTTGCCCTTTTTCCAGTCACTTCGCCCACTTCCCTTATGCAACTGGCTCCCCTTCAGCTGCTGTCCTCGTTATGGTTCCTAGAGTGGGTGGGTTTATGTAGTTCCCAGCTCTCCTGAGAAACCAGCAGTTTTTTCCACCATCCCAGCTCCCACTATGTTAACAACCAGAAATTATGAGGCCTTATTTGTCCCTGCACTGTAACCCTGGGCTTCTGTGTCTGACCTGGGACTGGGATGCTCACAAGATGCTCCCCTGATTTTTATCTACCACATGTGAATGTGGGATCTTAAATTTTAATTGAATTAACCACCGTTCTGGGAGGAAACAGCACCGCAAGTTTGCTTGCGCATTGCTAGCGGAACGGACGTGCGCGCTGTAGCCTTCGGGTGTGCGCACGCGCAGGCGCTGCCCAGCAGACCCCGCCCACAGCCCCGGTTCCCCGGGATTGCCCCACACGTGGCGTTGAGTGGACGTGCAAGGCTGGGGCTTAGCTGTGCTTCCTGTTTCCCGGTGCTTTCGGGTAGGTGGGGCAGTCAGTGATGTCTGGGCTTGGCCGGCAACCCGTGGAAGTCTGTGCCATGTGAGGGAGTTTGGGGCTGGAGGCCCTGGGGTGCGGGGGTCAGAGATCAGAGGGTCACAGGAGGGTTCTGGCGGCCTGGAGATGTCGCGCAGCAATGACGTTGAGGCCGTAGGGGCACTGAGGCTGCCTGTGGTTGCATAGGGGGAAGAGGGCCGGAATGGATGTGTATGATCGTATCACGCGAGACACAACGTGCACCTAATTTCATAGTTTAAAACAACAGCATGAGTAGAGCTTTAGGTGACGGGGTAAGTCCTTGTACGAAGACGGGAAGGAAGTGAGGCCCGTAGGCGCTTCCGATTGTGAGTAGGAGGAGGGTTTTCTCGGTGGGCAGCCCTGCTTGTGGGGGGTGGGGGTGGATTCTGGTTAACGCAACCACCACCTTCCCAGAATCTCCTGCAGAGGTAATGGGAGCCTGTACGACTTGAGGTAGTCAGTAGAGGGCGGAGGGCTTGTGTTATGAGAAGTTTACATACGGAAACTGAAGAATTTTACGCATTCCTTTGTAGACTACATTAATTATGTCATGGTAAGTACTATCTAAGGAAACAAAGTGACAGCACAGCCCATTAGGAGTCTGCTCACTCTGTGGAGGCTGCACTGTCACCCTCCACACACACATGCTTTTGTTTTCTGACCCATGGCAGTAAATGCAGCTCTTCTAATAGTGGGCTTACATATCACTGCACAGCGCAGCTTCTCAACCCAAGCGCTGTTGACATTTCGGGTCAAGTAGTTCTTTGTCGTGGAGAGCTGCCCCATAAGTTACAGGGAGTTGACCAGCTTCTCTAGCCTGTACCGATTAGATGTGAGCAGTAACCTTCTTAGTTATGATGACTAAAACTGTCTTCAGACTTTGCCAGATATTCCCCTGGGGGGCAAATCTTACTTTCTGTGAGTGCCACATAAGACTGAATGTCAGTTTAATAATATAACAGCACTTACCAACTCTTTTGAACTTGGAAATCCCTTTCCCAGCAAGTTCACAAACTCACTTAGGAAATTTACATAACGTTGAAGATAATAAAGTAGTGACAAAAAATTAGCACATCAAAGTTCATTTAATTTAGTCTTTAGTGATGTGTTTACATCATCAATTTTTCCCCATGTGGCAAGTGATATACGCTTAACGCATGTCAGTGATGTACGAAATGGTCTATGATTGCTAATATTGCAGCCTTTACTCCAAATACCCCTCCATTGATCTTATATTTCATTGTCCAGCATACATTTTATTTCTGTTTATGATCTGTCTGCCTCAAATGTGAGCTCCAAGAGGAGAGGGACTGTGATTACTATTACCAAGACAGTGCTTAGTACAAAGTAGTGCCTCAGTGAACAATTATCAAATTGATCACCTTTAAAATAAACTTTTAAGAAAAATTTTAAAATAAGATTCATGCTAAAATATAGCTTGAAATTTAATTTTTACATCCATGAAAGACAGTTTACTTAAACTGCTCTTTAGAATTCTTTGTTTTGCACTTAAAAGTCAACTAGTTTCTTTTTACAGTTTTCACATTTTCTTTCTAAATGACTTGATAACAGATTTCAAGCTGCAATTTCAAAGCCCTTCTCCAGAGATGTTGCTGTGGAAAGTGCTTCTTAGTATTAATAAATAAAAATTCAAATATTCCTATTTACAACAAGGACATACATATGTGTGTATCTGTAGGAATTTACATGGACACACACACACACTTTGTCTTTCAGATCTTCTAGGCAGGGTCATAAAACTAATCTGGAACAGCTTGTACACTTCATTGTTAGGTAGGAGTCACTCAAGAAACCAGATGGATGCAGCGAGCCAAGGAGCAGGGCTTATCAGTGGGGAGTAAGAGGAGAAAGTGGAGCCAACCAAGGGAAGTTGGGGCTTGCAGGAGAAAGTGGAGCCAACCAAGAGAGGTTAAGACTCACTTGGTTTTTCTTAGGGTAGGGTTTTCAAGTGCGAAAACCTATGAAGGGTAACTGGTTGGGGTGTCAGAGTCTGATTAGCTAGAGCTGGTTGCTGGGTGCCATTTCTGCTGACCATTGTTCTTGATACATCTTGTCAGGCTCAAGTTAAAGCTGCATCCTGTTATGCCTGGTAGGCCGACCCCAGACCCAATCATAGCCAGGCATCTGTTTGTCCTGGGTAGGGACGGCAGGCTGTTGCCCATGGTGTAGTTTCCCACCTGGTGATTTTCCACTCTGCCTAGGCCTACCTAGGTCTGTCACTCATCTCTGCCATGAGGCATTGGATTTTAATAGTTGTCCAGTTCTTTACCTGAATGAAAACAATGTTCAATCCTGAAATACCCAATCAAAATGAAACCTAGTGGTTTGCCATCAGTTTTCTGTGCTGTTGCAATTTCTCTCAGCTCAGCTTGCACACAAGTGGAAATCTGTGGAATTTCTACTTGGAAATGCTCCAGCCTAATAGTTCCTACTGTGCTTTGCTGGAAATTTATTCTTTTTTTTTAATCCAGTAAACTAAAATGACACATTTCAGTCCTTCAGTACTCTTAGGAGGCATAAACTAGAAGCCACTTCAGGTACTTTTTACTTACAGAAACAAATCTACAGGTCTCTGTTGGAATGCAATAAACATTTGGGAAATTTTTATGCGTATTTCTTTCCAAGCCCATTCCTCACTCCCAGAAGGAACTTTAATCTTTAATCTTGAGATTTTTATTCACTTGCTTTTATCTGCCTGTTTTTGAACTTCATAAAGTGGACTTGGTTATTCTCATTCGTAGCATTTCTCATTTTAAATGGCTACTCTGCATCTTTTGGACACTATTCCTAGGCCTGGGGAATTCCTCCAGTAAGAGTCTTGCTTTTGCCCTGGCTGGCGTAGCTTAGTGGATTGAGCGCGGGCTGGGAACCAAAGTGTCCCAGGTTTGATCCCCAGTCAGGGTACATTCCTGGGTTGCAGGCCATAACCCCCAGCAACCGCACATTGATGTTTCTCTCTCTATGTCCCTCCCTTCCCTCCCTAAAAATAAAAATAAATAAAAATCTTTAAAAAAAAAAGAGTCTTGCTTTTCTAGTTGACCTTGGTGGCTGGGGCCTAAGGCCAAGACCATATCAAATACACCCACATATGCCTCAGAGTAGGAGGGGGCAATGTGACAAAGCTCTTGAATGCTGACTTTCAACATTTCACTTGCTGTAAACTTTAGACACAATGTTTTAAAAAGCAAATAGTGTGCTGTTTTTGTGCGAAGAATAACTTTTGATTTATAAATGGGTTTGGTTCCTGTGTAGTAAGGAATTTACCTCACCCAAATAGAGGTTTGGCCTTTGATAGGTAACCTGTAAACATTTTCCCAAGTGATAGAAATGTCTGTTATTCATGAAGGGCCCTCAGGCCATACCAGCCTTGGGGACAGGAGCTGGGGACTGATTTCCACTGGGGCAAGCAGTACTTTTTTAGTCAGTCATGGTGATGCCGTGAAGCCTCAATATAGACTACACCCCGACACTCACACATGGATGCCAGGAGGGTGGTGCCTCCTGAGGGCAATGGGAGCTTCCTGTTTGGAATGTTCCAGGACTTTGCATCTCTTCCTTGGCTGGCTCTAATTTGTACCCTTTCCCTGTAATAACTGTGAGTATAATTGCCCTTAGTGAGTTCTGTGAGGCTTTCTAGCAAATTACTGCACATGAGGGTGGTTTGAGGAGTCCTGGAACTAGCAGTTGGTAGAGGTCTTGGGCAGACATAGTTGTCTTCACTGACTGGGAGGTACCTGAAGAAGTAATTGTGCTGGCCATCCATTTCTACAAAAACACCTTCCTTGTCTCCCTTTGTTTTACTTTTCTTCTTCCCTTCTGTTGTCCCTTGGTTTTCATAGCTTTTTCTGTGCTCCTCTTAAAAAAAAAAAAACATCAATCCTTTATTTATCCTGTCAGTAACATCCAGGAGCCTTAGATCACCTAAACAGTAATATTCAAGTATAAAAAGATCTCTGATTCAGAGAATCTGCTGGACACTGTTGGCATATGGCCATTGAGGTACCAGAAGGAAGCAAAGTGTCTTTAGATACTTAGGAAAATATTTGTTCTACAAGGTATCATAAAAATCTGAAAATTGCATTTGTAAAAACTATGTACCTTTAAAGGGAAACTCCATTTGAATGGAAGACCCCTGTAGATGTTTGATCTCTTAAATGTTTCCCTTTTTTTAAAAAACTCACTTTTAGTTTGGAACTTTGCTGTGAGATAAGCATTTTTTATTTGTTATTTGATGGGAAGAAGCACTTTTACTTATCTTCAGGTCATAGTGAATTTGTGAGATGTGTGACTTGGAAGATGATGATGTCCCCCAGCTTTCTTTCCACGCCTTAGCAGCTCTCCAGGAATTTTATGCTGAGCAGAAGCAGCACAGTGACCCAGGTGGGGATGACAAATACAGCATTGGGAGGATAGAAGAGAACTGGGTGAGTAAATGCATTCCATATCTACTGGGGAATATTGGTGTGGAACCTGCTCTGGATCTAATCCAGTGTTTGTCTACATCCCATCTGATACCCAAGTATGTCCCCTGCCATTTGGGAGCTGATAACATACTTGGGGAACTAGTACAGAAAGCAGTCCAGAAATAGTTTAAGATGATGTAAATGCAGATTTTCCTGGTGCTAAACTCTTAGGCTGGTTGGTGATTGGTTGGTAGACAGGACTTTTCAGACAGGGGAGTGGCATGTTATTATATCCAACACAAAGTTGGGACTCCTTCCTGTACACAGGCACACACTGTCTGTTTTTATACAGACCAACAATCCTGTGGCAAGGGCAAAGGTCATGGCAGGAAATGATGTGACTGAACTTAAACATGTAATAAAACATTAATGAAAGGGAGTTCAGATGATACTAATGGTTTCTGGTGCATAGTGTGTATTTTAATTGTACTTTATGGTCCAAATAAAAATAGAAAGTAGAAGAGAAAAAGGAGTTGAGGGAAACTCCTAACCTAAGCTGGGACATAGAAATTTAAATCTTTTGAAGGACATAGTTGAGAAAGAGAAGATGCTTGAATTTTCTATGACTCCCCTAGATAATAGATTTGTCTTTCTCTATCCCTTTGCAATTGGAATGAAGCTTTGTATGCTTGTTGTTGTTTTTCAAGGCTTTTACATTTTGCCAAATTTGAGTTTCTTAATATAAGATTTTCCTATTTACCATCTGTTTGAAACTAACTGTGATGAAAATGTTTCTTTCCATTACTGGGAATGTTTCACTAATGCAAAGCCTCTTTCCCACTGTTTGCTTCTTTGTGTTTGTCTTCTAGCTAGTGCTTCTATTAAGATAATAAAACATCAGAAACATGAAGAGCTGTGGTATGCTTGAGTAGGCTACTTCTTTCTCTTTTCCTTCTGCTTAATTTTTGGAGTACTCTGTCTCTGTTTTGGATATATGAGATGTCAGTAACACCACTGGCCCCTGGCCTTGCCGTACAGGGGAGAAATGGGTGTACTGCATTGCAGAGGGATCCACTTTTTCCATTAAAATAATATATTTTATAAATGTTAGTAGATCATGAAGAATCACTAGAAATTTAAAAGGAAATAATCAGCATGCATAGAATGTAGCAAGATGAAAAACAACTTTACCCTGAGAGAAAAACAAGTAATTCAGGAACATTCCTCAGGTAAAGAGGCCACAGAAAAGAGGTAGGGACTGGGCATCTAGTGGTAGGGACTGGGCATCTAGACTGGGCATTGTGGTGTCCTTTAACACATTCAGTCTTCTCTATTTGTAATTCTGTTAGTTGATTGTTGAATCTAGTGGCTTAATCAGATTCAGGGTTAGTCATTTTTGGGGGGCAGAACTCATACACGGGTGGGGTGTGTCTTTCCATCAGGAGAAGCATTGATTGCTTCTCTCCTTTTGTGGTGTGAACAGCCAGTGGTAAAAGTGCCTCCATTTTGTAATTAGGGCATTCCATTAATTTATTTTTTTTTAATTTTATTTTTTCAATTACAAGTTTACATTCAGTATTATTTTGTCTTAGTTACAGGTGTGCAGAATGGTGGTTAGATAATCATATACTTTACATAGTGGCCCCCCCGCCCCAGTATTTCCAGTACCTCCTGCACCATACATAGTTATTAGAATAGTATTGACTATATTCCCTATGCTATACTTTACATCTCCATTACAATTTTGTAACTACCAATTTACACATTTTAATTCCTTCATCTTTTTCACTTAATTCCCCAACCCTCCCTTCCTCCAGAAACCATCAGTCTCTTCTCTGTATCTGTCAGTCTGTTTTGAATTTATTTTTGATTATTATATTGCTCTGTAGATTCCACATATAAGTGTGATCATATGGTATTTGTCTTTCTTTGTCTAACATATCATTTAACATAATACATTCTAGGTCCAACCAGGCTGTTCCAAATGGTAAGATTTCATTCTTTTTTATGTCCAAGGAGTATTCCAATATATATATATATCACAGCTTTTTAATCTATTTTTATCTACGTGGGTAGTTTCCATAGTTTGGCTATTGTAAATAATGCTGCAGTGAACACAGGGATGCTCGTATTGTTTTGAATTAGTGTTTTGGGTTTCTTTGTATATATACCCAGAAGTAGAATCACTGCATCATAAGGCAATTACATTTTTAATTTTTTGAGGATCCTCCATACTGTTTTCCACAGTGGTCACATCAATCTACATTCCCACCAACATTTCACTAGGGTTCCCTTTTCTTTTCTCCACATCCTCATCAAGACTTTTTTTTTTTTATTTATTGATGATAGCCATTCTGACAGGTGTGAGGTAGTATCTCATTTTAATTTGCATTTCTCTGGTGATTAGTCACATTGAGCATATTTTCATATGTCTGTTGGCCATCTGCATGTCCTTTTTTGGAGAAGTGTCTATTCACATCCTCTGCCCGCTTTGTAAGCAGATTTTTTTTTTATGTTGAGTTGTATGGGTTTTTTATAAATTTGGATATTAACCTGTTATTGGATGTATCATTGGCAAATATCTTTTCCCATTCAGTAGGTTGCCTTTCATTTTGTTGATGGTTTCCTTTGCTATGCAAAAACTTTTTAGTTTGATGTAGTTCTATTTATTTTTTTCTGTATATAAGAAAGGTATATAAGAAAATATATAGCTAAAAGAAATGTCAGAGATTTTACTGCCTGTGTTTGTTTTTTAAGATTTTATTTTTATAGAAGAGAAGGGAGGGAGAAAGAGGGAGAGAAACATGGATGTGTGAGAGAAGCATCTATCAGTTGCCTCCTCCCTGCCCTCAACCAGGAACTTGGCCTGGAACCCAGACATGTGCCATGACCTGGAATCAAACTGGCTACCTTTCAGTTTGTGGGATGATGCCCAACCTACTGAGCCACATCAGTCAGGGCATGACTATGTTTTCTTCTAGGACTCTTATGGTTTTCAGTCTTTACATATAAGTCTTTAATCCATTTTGAGTTTATTTTTGTATATGATATAAGAGGGTTTTTTTGCATATATCTATCTAGTTTTCTCAACACCATTTATTGGATAGACTATCTTTACCTCACTGTATGTTCCTGCCTTCTTTATTATATATTTATTGACCATATAAGTGTGGGTTTATGTTTGCGCTCTCTGTTCTGTTCCCTTGTTCTCTCTGTTTTGATTACTGTAGCCTTTTTCAAAAAATATATTTTATTGATTATGCTATTATAGTTGTCCCATTTTCCCCCTTTACTCCCCTCCACCCTGCACACCCCCTCCCACCCATATTCCCCCCCCCTTTAGTTCATGTCCATGTGTCATAAGTTCTTTAGCTTTTATATTTCCCATACTACTCTTGCCCTCCCCCTGTTTTCTATCTACCACCTATTAATTTTTTTTCTTTTTCTTAGATAAGTCTCTTTAACATTTCACATAATAAGGGCTTGGTGATGATGAACTCCTTTAACTTGACCTTATCTGAGAAGCACTTGATCTGCCCTTGCATTCTAAATGAAAGCTTTGCTGGATAGAGTAATCTTGGATGTAGGTCCTTGCCTTTCATGACTTGGAATACTTCTTTCCAGCCCCTTCTTGCCTGCAAGGTGTCTTTTGAGAAACCAGCTGACAGTCTGATGGGAACTCCTTTGTAAGTTACTGTCTCCTTATCTTCTGCTGTTCCTAGGGTTCTCTCCTTCATTTTTATCTTGGCTAATGTAATTATGATGTGCCTTGGTTTTGTTCCTTCTTGGGTCCAACTTCTTTGGGACTCTCTGAGCTTCTTGGACTTCCTGGAAGTCTATTTCCTTTGCCAGATTGGGGAAGTTCTCCTTTATTATCTGTTCAAATAACTTTTCCACTTGTTGCTCTTCCTCTTCCCCTTCTGGTACCCCTATAATTCAGATGTTGGAATGTTTAAAGATGTCCTGGAGGTTCCTAAGCCTCTCATTTTTTTGAATTCTTGTTTCTTCTTTCTTTTCTGTTTGGTTGTTTCTTTCTTTCTTCTGGTTCACTCCATTGATTGGCGTCCTGGTTTTCTTCCCATCACTATTGGTTCCCTGTGCATTTTCCTTCACTTCACTTAGTGTAGCCTTCATTTTTTCATCTAATTTGTGACCAAATTCAACCAGTTCCGTGAGCATCCTGATTACCAGTGCTTTGAACTGTGCATCTGATAAGTTGGCTATCTCTGCATCGCTTAGCTGTATTTGCCATGGAGTTTTGATCTGTTCTTCTGTTTGGGCCTTTTCTTTTCTTTTCTTTTTTTTTTTTGGTCTTGTTGTGCCTGTTATGTATGAGGGGCGGAGCCTTAGGTGTTCACTAGGGCGGGGCAAGCCAGTTGCTGGGTTGTGAGGCTGTATATGGGGGCAGGGTCCAAGAGAGAACAATGGTGCTTGCTCTGCTCTCTGTCGGATTTTAGTTCCTTCCTCTGCTTCCCCCAAGCAAACTGGGCCTTTCTGGTGTTGATTCTCATGTGGGTGGGCTTGTGTACATTCTAGGACCCTGTGGGTCTTTCCAGTGAACTCTCCTGTGAAGCTGGGAGTCTCTCCCAGCACCGCAAACCCCCGCAGGTGTTTCTAATTGGTTTTGAGGCTTTACATCCTTGCGCTGGGACCCTGGGTTGCGAGGTCTGTCTTGCTCCCCAGTTTTGCCTGGTTTATCTGTGCAGGAATGTGGGACCACCCGGTCTGCCAGCTGCCTTGCACACTGGACCCCACCCCACAATCGCTGCCTTGCTGCGTCTGCCTATTGCCACTCCACGCCCTGGGATCTGCCAGCCTTGGCCTGCATGCCCAGGGTCCACCTGCTGCTGGCTTGCACGCCTGAGGTCTGCAATCCACCACTTGTTTTTTGTTTTGTTTTGTTTTGTTTTGTTTTGTTTTGTTTTTGCTGAAACCTCTCTCTGCCCAGTGACCTGACTCCGCCCCTCCTACTGGCTAGATGAATGTGTTTAACTCTTTGTTTGTTGGACTTCCATACAGTTCAATTTTCTGTCAGTTCTGGTTGTTATTTTGTTTCTAAATTGTTGTCCTTATTTTGGTTGTGCGAGGAGGCACAGTGTGTCTACCTACACCTCCATCTTGGCTGGAAGACTATTTACTGTAGCCTTATAATATAGTGTGATATCAGGTAGTATGATTCCTCCAACTTTGTTCTTCTTTCTCAAGATTGCTGTGACTGTCTGGGGTCTTTTGTGGTTCCATACAAATTTTTGGATTATTTGTTCTAGTACTGTGAAAATTGCCATTGGTATTTTAATAGAAATTGTGTTGGATCTATACATTGCTTTGGGTAGTATGGACATTTTAATAATGTTAATTCTTCCTATCCATGAGCATGGTATATATACTTCCATTGATTTGTGTCTTTAATTTCTTCAGTGTCTTACGATTTTCTGAGTATAGGTCTTTTACTTCCTTGGCTAAATTTACTCCAAGGTATTTTATTTTTTGATGCAATTATAAATTGGTTTGTTTTCTTAATTTCCCTTTGTGATAGTTCATTATTGGTGTTGAAAGATGCAACTGAGCCCTGGCTGGCGTGGCTCAGTGAGTTGAGTGCCAGCCAGCAAACTGAAAGGTCACTGGTTTGATTCCTGGTCCAGGCACATGGCTGGGTTGCAGGCCAGGTCCCCAGTTGGGAGCATGCAAAAGACAGCTGATTGAATTTTCTCTCACACATTGATGTTTCTCTGCCTCTCTGAAATGCTCTGAACATATCAATTAAATCCATCTGATCTAGTTTGTCATTTAAGGCCACTATTTCTTTGTTGATTTTTGTTTGGAAGATTTATCTATTGATGTCAATGAGGTGTTAAAGTCCCCTACTATAACTGTATTTCTGTCAGTCTCTTCCTTTATGTCCATCAAGATTTGCTTTATGAATTTAGGTGCTCTTATGTTGTTGGGTGCATAAGTGTTGACAAGGGTTATATCCTCTTGTTGGATTGATCTCTATCATTATGTAATGTCCTTCTTTGTCTCTTATTATCGCCTTTGTTTTAAAGTCTATGTAAGTATTGTATCTAGGCTTTTTGTTTCTATTTGCATGAAATATTTTTTCATCCCTTTGTCTTTTGATCTGCAGTGGATCTCTCATAGACACCATATATGTGGCTCTTGTTTTCTTACCCAGTCAGCTACTCAGTGTCTTTCAGTAGGAGCATTTAATCCATTTATATTTAAAGTAATTATTGATAGGAAATGTATTTATTGTCATTTTATTATACAAGTTTATGTTCCTTTTTTCTTCTTCCTCCTTCCTCCCCCTCCTCTTTTCCCTCCCCACCCTCTCCTTTTCCTTTCTCTTCTTTTTAACATTTTTTGTAGTACTGTATTGGTGGTGATGAACTTATTTAGCTTTTTCCCATCTGGAAACCTTTAGTTTCCTTCAATGTTGAATGATACCCTTCATGGGTAGCATAGTCTTACTTGTAGGTCTTTGTTTTTCATCACTTTGAATATTTCTTGTTAATCCCTTCTGGCCTGAAGTGTTTCTATTAAGAAATCAGCTGTCTTATGGAAGTTCTTGCTGCTTAAAGATTTTGTCTTTGTCCATAACCTTAGCCATTTTAATTATGATGTGTCTTGGTGTGGACCTCTTTGGTTTTATCTTGTTTGGGACTCTGAACTTCCTGGATTTGTCTTTCTCCTTCACCAAGTTAGGGAAGTTTTCAGTCATTATTTCTTCAAATAGGTTCTGAATCCCTTGTCCTCTCTCTTCTTCTGATATCCTATGATGCAGATGTTGTTTTACTTGATGTTTTCCTAGCTGTTCCTTAAACTATCCTCATTTTTAAATTTTTTTTTTTATTTTTGGTGCTCTGTTTTCTGCTACCTTATCTTCCAAATCATTGATTCAATCTTAAGTTCCTTGAGCATCCTTACAACCATTGTTTTGAACTGTGTATCTGGTAGTTTGCTTGCCTCCATTTGATTTAGTTCTTTTTCTAGAATTTTCTCTTATTCTTTAATTTCGGGGATGTTTATTTGTCTCCCCATTTTGGCTGCCTCTCTGTGTTTGTTTCTGTGTACTATGTAGAGCTGCTATGTCAGTCAGCCTTGGTAGAGTGGCCTTATGTACTATGTGTCCTGTAGGACCCAGGAGCAGCTGAGCTGGGTACTCTAGGAGTGTCCCTTTTTGGGTTACGTGAGTCTTTTAAAAAAAAAAATTAAAAACAATTCTTTTTTTTTCTTTTTTTTAAATTTTATTTTAATCATTGTTCAAGTACAGTTTTCTCCATTTTACTCCCAATCCAGCCCACCCACCCAATAAAAATAATTCTTACCTGAGGATATGTTTTACTATTTTAGAGAGAAAGGAATGGAGAGAGAGACCCACACATGAATGTAAGAGAGAAACGTAGATTGATGGCCTCCTGTACACACCCTGACCGGGGACTGAACCTGCAGTCTTTTGGGTACAGGACAATGCTACAGCCAACTGAACCACCAGGCCTGGGCAGCAGTTGTTTTGACCGCCATTAGTCCATCCCTGGGTGGTGTTGACCGTCAGGCTGATTGATTCTGAAAATCGACCCTAACCACTTTACGAGCTGCTGTGCAGGGGCTGAAGTCATGAAGTAGAATTCACCCCAGGAGGGTCTGGTGCCTGCTGAGATCTCCTTTTGGGTGTGCCTGTTGTGGAGCTAATTGCGTGGTGCTCTGATGTGATCTAAAGTCAGCTCCTCATTGTGTTGGTTCTGGGGCCTCTTGGGAGAAACTCCAATGCAGGTCAGAGTCAGATGCTCCCTATGACCTGGGCTACCTGTTAGGAGCTACAAAGCAGTCCACAGTTGGTGTCTACCTTTGCTGGGACTGGGTATGTGTGGTAGGGGCCAGCCCTTTTTGCATCTCTGCCCTTCTTACCAGTCTTATGTGGCTATTCTATAAATCCTTGGTTATAAGACTTCTCTTTAGCTAGTCTTCAGTTTATAATTCAGATTGATTGTTCTGTAATTTAGTACTAATTCCAGTAATGTTCTGGGAGAACATGAGTATAACTTCCACTTACTCCCCTGCCATCTTGGACCCCCAGCCTTCTATTAATGGAACAGACTGACAGCTATCAGCGGGGAGGCGGGAGAGGGGACTGGATGAAAGAAGGTAAAGGGATTAGCCAAAGAACATGCATGCATAACCCATAGACACAGACAACAGTGATGGCTGGTGGGAAGGGGCTGCCAACGGCACTGGGGAGATGGGCAAAGTGGGTGAAAATGGGGACATCTGTAATAGTGTAAAGAATAAAAATAAAAATAATTTCCCAAAAATTGGTTTTAAAGAGAAAAAAGGAAAAAAAATTAAATATATGCACAGGTTTAAAGGAACCAAATTTATACTAATTCTAAAATGATTTCAACTCATCCCTCTGTTACAGCAGTTGAGCCAGTTTTGGTACAGTCAGGAAACTGCTCTGAAGCTTGCTAAGGAAGCGATTGCAGCTGCTGGGGAAGGTGGAAGGTGAGATTCAAATTCAGCTTCTCTTTTGTTTTAATCTAAATTAATATTTTAAATGTCTTCCTTAGATGAGGGATGCTTTGTAACAAGTCTGAATCATAATCAGCAAAATTTGTAGTTCGTGCTTTATAGAATATAAAGAATAAGAACCGCAGCAATAACAAGTTTAGGGACACTCAGAATTGTATTCATTGTAAGATATCTTTGTCATTTTTAAAAATTTGTTTAATTATTTTATTTTAAATTTAATCTTTATTACATTTTTCTATTACTATTGAATCCCCTTATACCTCCCCCCCATCCTTTTTAAAAATTTTCTAACCTGCTTCTTTCTTTTTTACAGGGGTAAAATACTTAACTTTTTGAGGTTTTAAGAATGTAGGTTTTCTTTTTTTAACTTGCTCTTTATTTTACCAAAATTTTACATACATGTAATTTAAAGTCAAATGGTCCTAAAGGTTTGTTGAAAAAAATATCCATTTCTAATTTTTACCCCTTGCCCACCTCCTCCCCTTTTCAGCTCCCTTCCAATAGAATCTTTGGTATTTACAACCATATTTTTCTGTTTTTAATTACATTTTATTGATTATGCTGTTACAGTTTTCCTAACTTTTCCCTCTTTGGCTCCCTCTACCCAGTACCCTCTACTCCCCCAGGTAATCTTCCCACTGTTCTTCATGTCCATGGGTCATACGTATAAGATCTTTGGCTACTCCATTTCCTATACTCCATTTAACATCACCACGGCTGTTCTGTAATTACCTATTTGTACTTCTTAATGCCCTCACCTCTTCACCCATTCTTCCCCTCACACCCTCCCATCTAGCAACCATCAAAATGCTTTCTACATCCACGATTCTGTCTCTTTTTGTTTGCTTAGTTTTTTAGAATCAGTCGTTGATAGATATGTATTTTTGCCATTTTATTGTTCTTAGTTTTGATCTTCTTTTTCTTCAATAAGTCCCTTTAACATTTCATATAATAATGGTACAACCATATTTTTAAATAACATACTTCTGTTAGTCTTTCTGGATTTGTCACCTGAGACATTGTTTCCTGACTTCTCATGACAGAACGTGAGATTTTATCTCATTCAGAGTACCATTTTCACAGATGTGCATACATCTAGTAGTTTTTTCCTGATTTGGACTAGAACAGGGTTTATATAGTTACAAACACATAAATGTTCTTTACAGCTGAGGCTTTTGCTTTTTCCTTACTGTAAAGTTTTTCATTTTTCCTGAAGAAAATATCTCCTATTTTTTATGTGTTTCTATGTCCATATCATTTATTAACCTTCAGATTCTCACCTGGTTGTGTAATTCTCCTATCTATTAACACAGAAATAATTCAACTCCTTAAAAAATGTTATCCCAGAGCTTTACTACCTGTTCCAAGCTTGACTGGTTGATTTCTAGCTTTTATCTTGGCGTCTCTCTTTACCATCCTGCTGAGGATCCTTTTTCCTCTCTTTTATTCTGGATTCCCAGTTTCCTCTACCCCAGTTCCCAGTTTGCAGCCTTATTTGGGTTGGGTCCATCCTTTAATAGCTTCCACAGAAAAGATATGTGGGAGGCAAATTTTTAAAGCCTTTCATGTCTGAAAATACCTTTATTGTACCCTACTCTCAATTGTAATAGTTTTTGTGTATATAATTTGGATTTTGAGGACATTGTTTCACTGCCTCCAAGTATTCTTCGGTACTGTTGTGAAATTCCACACTGTTCTGAGTTCTCATTAGGAAACCTGTTTTCTCCTATCCTTGCTCATCACAAATTTAGGATTTTCTCTTAATCCCTAGTATTTGATGCATCCTAGTGGAGAGCATTCCCCTCTTCTGCTGGGGGGGAAGGGGCCCTCTCTTTCTCATTTCCTCCAGTTTGGAAAAACTGTCTTATTTCTTTGATTTTTCTTATTTCTGTTCCTCTTTCTGGAAATCCTGTTAGTATTTGAGTGTTGGATCTTATCTTCTTTTCCTTCTGTCTTTTTTCCCATCTCTTGTCTTTTTTACCATACTTTCTGGGAAAATGACTCAACTTTGCTTCTAAACTTTCTGCTGGGTTTGCCATTTCTGCTATCACATACATAGACACGTATAGCTCTCTTTTGGGGTCACTGAATATTTCTTTATTACTATATCTTGTTCATCCTTATGAGGATATTAATTCTGGGGTATTTTTAAAAGCTTTCTTCTCTCCACATAGTCTGTTTACTCCAGCATGCCTTTTCTGCTTGTTTATTTTGGCCTCTAATATTGGGTGCTTTTCCTGAATGTCTGTTGACCTTCACTGCCTGTTCACATTAAGGTTTGAAAGCTGTAACACATGGCAGACCTTATCTACTTGGTTTTTGCAGTTGGATGATCTGGCTGAGTTATTTCCTAGGTAACCCCCAGTAACACTCTCTCTGGGTTTCTTCCTGGGCTGGTCAGAGCTATAGGAAGAGTCTTCTAATTTTTCCCTTGAAGTTATGTGTGTTGTGACATTGTCCTGAGGGGCATTCTACTGAGAGGACTATAGGTCCCAGCATCTGGTAGGTTTAACTTAATCTTTGTCATTGCCACACTGTACTGCACCACTAGTTGTGCTGGCACCCCCTCATTGTCGCCCAATCCAGAGACTATCCCTCCAGTTTTCTTCCTTTCATGGAAGGTGGGCACCTGAGGACCTGGGGTGGGGGGATGGGGAAGTCCTGGCAAGGACTATCTTCTTACATGGACCTTCAGCCCACTTTTTGAATTACCTGATCTGCAGCATCCTGAGCCTTTGGGGTGCAGTGATGGAGACCAGGTTGTTCCTTAGCTTTCCTGGCTACTGGGATTTGGTGTCTTGGGCCTGCCAAGTCAGATGCCACTCTGCACTGCTTTCCCGCTTCCTAAGTGTGTTTCTTTTGTGTTTTCTCACATTCCCTTTCTCTTGCAGGTGTAGGCTTCAACAATAAAATGGAATTTTACTTGTGTTGCATTGAGTGGGCTTTCATGAGGCCACAAATCCATGAACGTGTCCTACCCGTCATCTTTAACTGGAAGTCCCAAGTTTTGCTTTTGTCTGTTCTTTTACTTTTTAAATTATGTGTTAGTTTTTCATTAAGTTTTTCTTACTGTGTTTTTACATATGTTTTCCCTTTTTTCCCATTAATATAAGGGCTTTGGATGCAACTTTTCATTTTTTTCTGACAGATATCTTCAGTATTTTCAGGAGCTATGTCATAATCTTAAAGATAAGTGAAAATTGGAGCACCTGTTGAATACTCTCTGCCTGCCCTGTCCCCATCTTCTGTGTCAGCACTTTATGAGGGTCAGCTTGATTAGTTCTCACACCTTTGTGAGGGAGCTAATGTTACATTCTTAATTCTAAAGACAGAAGCTGAGGCCCAAGAGATTGTTACTCGCTAAAGGTGACTTGGGGGTAAGCCACTCTCTGACCCCCACCACTCCATGACCAACTCCACTGTCCTGCTGGGTTCACCATGCCTACTCCCTCCTTTTTGCATCTCACATACACTTTCCTGATGCCTGCGTACATCCTTCAGAATATTTTAGAGATGTTCTGTTGGCAACAAGCTCAGAATTAGTTTGTCTGAAGATGCCTTTATTTCACCTCTTTCTCAGGTGATAGTTCATTGTGTATCTGTTTGCTGCTTGTCATCCCAGGACAGTGAAGACATTGTGGCTCTACACCCTCATCTCCCCACCAGCCCAGTGAACGCTGACAGAAGCCTGGGCTGGGGCTCTTCTTGCACTTGCCACTGACTGGGATGTGCATATTTCCCATGGAAGCATATGTGACATCACCAGGCTGTTAGGCACTTCAAGTGTATTTGGGCCAAGCAGCTTATCTAGCAAGCCTGGAGGCCTAACCTGCATGTGTTCAGAAATGCATCTTAATAGGTTTAAAGCTTAGTTTAATTATTAATTTTAAAAGAAGTACTTTTTTGGAGGACTTCATTCAAGATGGCAGTGCAGGTAAACTCGGATTGCCTCCTCACACAACCATATCAAAATTTGAGCTAAACTACAGAACAACCATTATTCAGAACCTCCAGAAATAGAGCTGATGAAGTCCTACAACTACAGAATTAAAGAAAGCACCTCAGTACTGATAGGAGGAGCAGAGATGCCAAATGGGCTGGTCCCACACCCACATGTGGCAGATAAAAATTGGGAGAGATATTTTGGGAGCAAGGGGTCCCAGCCCCACACTAGTCCCCCCAGCCCAGGGTTCCAGTGCCAGAAAGATAAGTCCCCATAACTTCTGGCTGTAAAAACGAGTGAAGATTGAGGCTGTGGAAGACCACTTCTAGAGACCCAGGCAGTTCCTCTTAAAGGGCCCATGCATAGACTTATTCAAACTCACTCCCTCTGAGCTCCAGCATGGGAGTAGCAGATTGAAAGGCACCAGAGCCATATAGGGAAGAACTAAAGTGTTTGGCGTTAGGATAAGAGAGATGGAGCTGTTTTCTCCCAACAGAAGTGCTGGCAGAGGCCATTGTTCCCTTTCTGAGCCCTCAATGGAACAGGCAGGCAGGCGCCATACCTGAGACTTCATCAGCCTGGCTCATACTGTTTGCCCCACCCTGGTAAACCCCTGAGCTTCTATCCCACCCAGCTTTTGGGTCTACCCAAGCTGTTTCCAGTGGTTTTTCCTTTTCAGTGGCTTGCCTTGGCTCATGCTTCAGATTTTCCTAAATTCTTTTTTTTTTAAGTTGTTTCATACTACTTTATTTAGGGGGGAGTTCCATTTTTCACTCCTCAATAGATTTTATGTATTTCTCATATGCTTCTTCATTCATTAGTTCATCTAGTTCTGAAGAGTTACTCAATGTCATCTTGATCAGCCAACCATCTTCATAACAAGATTTGTTGACAAGTCCTGGATTTTCTTCAAGAGCTTCATTAATTTCAGTTACTTCTATTAGAGGAGAATAGAGTTCACTAGCAGCTTTCACACTTTCCAAAGCACCAAACTCATCTTGTTTGTTCAGTTCTGTCCCAATTTCAGGTAGACTACAGTAATCAACATCTCCCAAAGCTTTCTCTGCAAAATTGCTGATTCCCACTGTTCCAATACCATTTTCTGTTGTTATCCATTCATGTTTCTCTGTGAATTTACGCACCGAGAGCAGATTGGGGTCGCTGTGCAGCGTCTGGATGGTGCTGGCCCTTAGGCCCCAGGGCCGCGGTGCGCAAGGCACAGGGGGTGCTGACGCAGCACGCAGACTCAGATTTTCCTAAATTCTTATACAAAGAAGCAGCATCTTACCTCAGCATCTTTGTGCCCAGGCCAGCACTAGCAGCAGTTGTTCGTTCACAGCTTGGACTCTCTTGGACACCTCCAAACCCAGCACAAGTAGCGGCCAACTGCAGATTGCTTTGTAGCTCATGCTGATGGCCCAAGACAGAACACAGGTGATGGCTGACCTTGGCCTGCACTTCCCAGGATGCTCCAGAGCTTGCGTGCCTAGTGGACAGCTTTAGACCATGTCAAAGCATCACTACCTGACCACCTCCACAACTAGAACACTCAAGGGGCAGACTCAGTAGGCACCAGAGCTCTGCTGAAGTAAGTCCTGTTCTGTGGAGTAGGCTTCTGCACAGCTGATCCTCCATGGTGGTCAGAGGTTGGTAGTCAGTGGGTACAGCCAGTCCTTGCAGCTGATCAGCGTAGGTAAATCTTTCCCATTGACCTGCCGACAGCAATCAAGCCTCAACTACAAGAGGAGGGTGTACTCAGCACACACAGTAGGTGCACCTCAAGTACCCTGCTTGTGTGATAAGGGAGGCTGTGCCACTGGACCCTACAGGACACTTACTACATTAGGCCACTCTTCCAAACCAGGGAGTCATAGCAGCTCTACCTAATACATAGAAACAAACACAGGGAGGCCACCAAAATGAGGAGACCAAAAAAAAAAAAAAAACACCAAACAAAAAAAAAAACATGGCCCAAATGAAAGAACAGAACAAAACTCCAGGAAAAACTAAACAAAATGGAGACTAGGTACAGCGTTCAAAACACCGATTATAAGGATACTTAGTGGACTTAGTGAGAACTTCAAGGACATAATAAAGGGAATGGAAACCATAAAAAAGAACCAGTCATAAATGAAGGATATACTAACTGAATTCAACAATTTACAGGGAATCAACACAGTGGATGAACCTGAGAATCAAATCAGCGATTTAGAATTTAAAGAAGCATAAAACACCCAATTAGAACAAGAAGAAAAAAGAATCTAAAGAAAAATGAGGATAGCCCTGGCTGGTGTAGCTCAGTGGATTGACCACTGGTCTGCAAACCAAAGGGTCACTGGTTCGATTCCCAGTCTAGGGCACATGCCTGGGTTATGAGCCTGGTCCGTGGTAGGGGGTGTGTGAGAGGCAATCACACATTGATGTTTCTCTCCCTCTTTTTCTCCCACCCTTCCCCTCTGTCTAAAAATAAATAAATAAAATATTTTAATTAAAAAAAATGAGGATAGGGTAAGGGGCCTCTGGGACAACTTTAAGCATAGTAGCATTTGCATCATAGGGGTGCCAGATGTAGAAGAGAGAAAGAAATTGGAAACCTATTTGAAAAAATAATGACAAAAAATTCCCTAACATGGTGAAGGAAATGGACATACAAGCCCAGGAAGTGCACAGTCCCAAATAAGATGAACCCATAGAGGCCCACACCAAGACACATCGTAATTAAACTGGCAAAGGTTAAAGACAAAGGGAATTTTAAGAGCAGCAAGAGAAAAGCAGGTAGCTACAGGGATCTCATAAGACTGTCATCTGATTTCTCAAAAGAAACTTTGCAGGCTAGAAGGAATTGGCAAGAAATATTCAAAGTGGTGAAAAACGGACCTACAACCTAGATTACTCTATCCAGTAGAGCTATCATTTAGAATGGAAGGGCAGATAAAGAGCTTCCCAGACAGGAAAAAGCTAAGAGTTTGTTATCGCCAAACCAGTATTATGTGAAATGTTAAAGGTCTTCTTTAATAATAAGATAAAAAATATGAACAATAAAGTGAAAGTAAATACATAGCTATCAACAGTTTATTCTAAAAAAAAAAAAGAGAAATGGAATTATAGATTCAGAGGATATTTTGATGGTTGCCAGATGGGAGGGGGCTCCAGGGGATGGGCAAAAAAGGTGAAGGGATTAAGAAGTACAAATTGGTAGTCATAGAATGGTTATGGGGATGTAAAGTACAGCATGGGGAACAGAGTAGCCAAAGAACATAAGTGCATGAACCATGGGCAAGAACAGTGGTAAGGGGGTTGCTAGAGGCAGTGGGTTGAGGCTGGGTAAAGGAGAGCAAATGGGGAGAAATTGGGACAACTGTATTAGCATAAACAAAATATAATTTAAATCACAAAATACTTTTTTGAATGATATATATGCATGACAAAAAATCTAAAAGTTATATAGGGGATTGAGGAAAAAAAGTCAGTTTCCTTCCTCATTATTCCCAGGCCCCCATTTCTCCCATGAGGCAGCTGTGGTCTCCAGATCTTGCCTTGTGTCTCTGAATGGACATTCTTACACTCATGAAAGCGTCTTTTTTTCCCCTTATGTTCCTGGAATGTCTTGGGGTGTGATGGCCATATAGTATAGTATTCCTTTGTTACAGATGGACCCCAATCAACTCAATAGTTTAGTGTTTGTTACTACTAGCTTTTTTAGAAGTTGGTTTTAAAAGTTAACTATTGAAACACTACCCATTCATAAACTGCAGACTGCTGGTAATAATTTCCTCATACAAAAATGCAATGAAATCCAAAGTATCTTTTCTTCACTGAGACCTAATTTTAATGTATGTTTTTGGAAAACTGGAGTTATTTACTGAAGCAGTTATTTGGGGTTTTTCTTTCAAGATTATGCATATTACAAAGTAACTTCAAAATATTTACTTTGAGACTAACAGTATTTAAAATAAATGTTAAGGAACCATGAATATATAGGTAAATTTAGGCTTGGGCTAATTTTGCCCTTACACATTCTTAATGTCTTACAGTTTTTACTATAGAAAGCACATTTATCTTTTTTTATACCTTAAAATTATGAGTTGCAGGTTTTTAAATACCAGATTCCTTTAAAAGTAAGGCAGTTAATGTTTTTCTCTGAGAATTTATTGCTGTTATGTTAGACGCATGGTTACTTTCTTCAGGGAGGTCTGAGCACGGCCCTCCGTGTCCAGCGGCGGTGTTGTCTGGTGCGGACAGCCGTCCACTGCAGCTCTCAGTGCGTTTGCTCACTGTTTTCCAGGATAGCCTGTGTGAGCACCCCCAGTGTGTATCAGAAACTGAGAGAGCTGCACAGAGAAGACCTGGCTGTGTACGTCTTTGAGTATGACAGAAGATTTGCCATTTATGGAGAGGAGTTTGTCTTCTATGATTACAATAATCCACTGGACTTCCCTGAAAACATCGCTGCTCATAGTTTTGACATTGTCATAGTGGATCCCCCCTATCTTTCTGAGGAATGTCTTAGGAAAACCTCAGAAACTGTCAAGTATCTGACCCGGGACAAGATTCTGTTGTGTACAGGTAGGTGATATTCAAGCCTCAGGTGTTAAGAGTTGGCAGAGATCTTAGAATTCAGGTCTTGAATCCACCATTTACTGTGTGACTTCGTGCAGGTTATGTTTATGTAACTTCTCTGTGCCCCCATTTCCTCATCTGTGAAAGTGGGGCTGGCAACGTTGCCTGTCTCTCAGGGCTGTGAGGACTGAGTGCCTCCCACACATCGCATGGGGTCACACTTGATGAGAGTTGTGGACTCTGTGGAGTTAATGTGCATTGCCTGAGGTTACAAACTATGTATCAGGTCAGCTTTACTACAGCAGAACAGTGTTCTTTCTGGTGGGATTGAGATACAGTGTTTTCTGAAGGTGGATGTGCTAAAATTTGACCCAGAACTAAAATGGTAACTACTTCTCTAGTCTGGGCAGTCTGGTGTTCAGGCCCTGAGGTGTGGACCCCTGTTCCTGCACCTAGCCTCTAAGCCACGCTTCTCTCTCGAGCACCCTGGCTGAGCATTGGAGCTCTTCTGGTTGTCGAGTTGTATTTAGTCAAGGACATGGCTCTTGTTGACAGAAATAATATTTACTTATTAATTAGCTGTGACTAGCCCTTTGTTCCAGCAGACGGGCAGGTGCCTGACCTCATGGAGTGTATATTCAGTTGTAGGGGATAGGTTAAAAGTGAACACAACAAATGAAGAAATGAGTTCCTAATTGTGAAAAGTATAGGAAAGACTCAGAATGGTGGGCTGGAACAGAGTCAGGGGGCTATACTGCAGATCTGCTGGTTCTCTGGGCTGAGCAGCACTGCAGCAGTGACCTCAAGAGGAGGCCTTAAGGGCCCAGGTGCTGGGACAAGAGGGTCTTTCCACATGCAAGTGCCGGTCAGAGTTGGGTTTTTCTTTTTAAGCATCCAGTCCCAAGAGGATAGATTTAAGGTAGATCATGTTAACTTTGTATCAACAGGAATTAATTGGGTGAGTGGATGCAGCGTTCAACTGAGACAAGCAGTCTGAACAAGGTTGGGTGGTAGAACAGGAGGGCAAGGGTGGGGGAAAGATACATTGGGAGATGAAGCTGAATGTTCTGTGCTGTGCATGTGGAAAGTGAGAAAGGGTAGAATCCAGGGTGAGTCCTGGGTTTCTGTGTGTGCAGCACTCGCTGATGTGGGCATCCAGGGACAGGTGCTTAGCAGCATCTGGGATGAAGTCCACAGCAATGGGCTGTGCAAGATAGGCTGTGGGGGTAGGACAGGCTGAGGGAGAAACAGGCTGGTTAGCCAAGGCTGGTATGGATGTGTCCCTGTTTAGTTTGCAAGAGTGGATGTTACTGAAAAGGGGGTTCTCGATCAAATAAAACACCAATTTTTAATAATTGTTTTTGCTTTTCTTATGTTACTTAGTAGGATATAATCTATTTCTAAAGCTTTAACTGTCTCAGCTTTGCAGAGACAGGAATACTTAAGTAAGAAAGTAAGTCATTAGCAAAAACGGTGGAGGAAGTAAAAAGTCTGGAGAACTGACCTCTAGCCTCATTTTCTAAGTGTTCTTTTCTTGCCTGGCCAGAATACAGGGTGCACGCTTATATTCATCTTCAGGTTCACCTGGTCTGTTCTCTTCAGGTGCTGTCATGGAAGAAGAGGCGATGAGAGTTCTTGGAGTGAAGATGTGCAGGTTTACTCCAGAGCACACGCGGAACGTGGCCAATGAGTTTCGCTGTTACACAAATTATGATTCTGGGCTGGACCATGATGTGTAAATGCAGGAAATGACTGTGTGTCACATTCCCCTCCTTATTTTTTCTCAGTAGGTTGTGAAGCTGTGGCCTACTCCCCTCCCCCACACTGGGCTTTCCCTGGTCTCCCAAATGAAGACATAGTGCCCCACCGGGAGTTCCTTACCCAGGGCATCTTGGATCTCAGGATTCTTTCTAACTTGAATATGGAATTGCAGTTGGAAGAAATCTTTGAACCCATCTAAGCTATTCTCCTTATTTAACATAGGTAAAAACAGAAGTGCAAACAGCTTAGTGGTTTGGCTAATACCCAAATTGGACAGAACTTTGGCCTCTGCCTTGAGCATTACATCCCCTTAAAAAATGGGCTCATTCTGACTCTGTGTGTGGACTGATGATGATTCTTGCAGCTCTCCAGGAGGATTGCTGGACTCGTGAGGAGGCCCTCCTCTGCCCCAGCCCCTCAAGGAGACAAGAGTTTCCTTAGGAACGACGAGTGTCCTAGAGCCTCCTGGGTCTTTCCTCTTCTCTCAGTTCTTGGAGGGAGGATGGGGACAGCCCAGGTGACCGCCATCTGGCTCAGCCCATCATCCTACCTAGGGCCACAGCTAATACTGCAGGTCACCTGAGAAAATGCAGGTGCTATCGGCATACCAAACACAAGCAAACAGGATGTGGGCAGAGGGGACTCAATTATTGTTCAAAAAGCACAGAATACTCCTTAGCAATTCAAATGGATGAATTGTTGATACCTGCAACTCGGAAGGGTTTCAAGGGTGTTGTGGTGAGTGAAGAAGCCAGCCCCAAAAGTCCCATTGTATTTCCATTCATGTAGGAATGCTGTGCAGTGGAGAACAGGTCACTGGTTGGCAGAGGCTAGGATGCAGTGGGATGGGAGTGGGTCTCATGGTGCTGGGCTTGTTCTGAATCTTGATTGTGCAGTGGTGATAAAAGTGTACACATGTGACCACATCATGGAGCTAAACATACACACAAACTGTGGGCATGCACAACTGCTAGACTGAGCGAGGTCTCTGGTAGTGCCCTGCCCATTGCTGGTCGGGAGGCTGCTGTTACATAAGATGTCATTGACAGACTGGGTGAAGGACACACAAGACCTCTACTATTTTTGCAACTTTCTGTGAATATACAGTAAGTTCAAAATAAAAATTAAAAAATAACTTTTCTCTGGGAAAAGGTTATACTTCCCCATCTTACATGACTTGCTTTGGCTAACTATACATGAAAGAAGTGACATGTCACTTCACAATTAGAACCTTATTTTCCCTCTTGACACCGTGACCAGCACTATTACAGAGAAGCAGTGTGGGCTGTTCCGGTTCCCAAGTGGAGCCCAGCTGCAGCTGGCCTGTAGTGAGCATGGGGGGAGTGAGGAGTAAACCTTGGAGGCTGAAAATCAGAGACTGGGGTGGCTTTTCCTGCAGCCAAGCACAGTGTACCCTGGAGAGTCGGCTGCATGAGAGCTGGTGCTCAGAGAAGGGGGGCCTGCCCAAGCTTGCTTCTCAAACTGCAGTTATCACGTTTTGGGATAATTTAAAATCTACTTAACAGATCACTCAGTATTTTTATGAGACATTTGTATTTTTATCAATGTACCTGGGACTTGAAGTATTCAGTACCTGTTCTTTTAAAAAATAACCCCTACCATATTATTTCCTTAAGCAGTTTGCTAAAAATTACCAAGGGGGGGGGTAACACATTCTACAACAAATGTGTAGAAATGTAATGTATAATTTAGGAATTGTAGGTGAGTAACAGCCTAGAAATAACAATTTTAATTTTTATAAATCTAGCATTTAAGATGAAAGAAACCTTATTCATGAGGTGGGGCAAAGCTTAACTCAGATTAAAATGTAATTACATATTTTAATAAGCAGCCAATGTACTTTTTGCTTTGGATGCTTCATGATTCCAATTTTAACCCATGTCCAAGAAAGGGTAAGGGGATAGCGGGGAAAGAAGGGAAGGGTCATCAAGGAATGTGTATGAAGGACCCATGGACAAAGCCAAAGGGGGGGGGTAGGATTGAGGGTGGGGCGGGGGAGAGGAGGGGAAAAATGGAGACAGCTGTATTTGAAAAGCAACACCAAAAACCCATGTTCATTTCTTTTTTTTTTTTTTAAGATTTTATTTATTTATTTTTAGAGAGAGGGAAGGGAGGGAGTGGGGGAGAGAGAGAGAGAGAGAGAAACATCAATGTGTGGTTGCTGGGGGTTATGGCCTGCAACCCAGGAATGTACCCTGGCTGGGAATCGAACCTGGGACACTTTGGTTCCCAGCCCGCGCTCAATCCACTGAGCTACGACAGCCAGGGCTAAGCCCATGTTCATTTCTGATCAGCTTCTGGATTTCATGAATGACCTATAGATGTATCCCGCAACCTGAAAAGCTTGACGTAGGCCTGGGTGTGTCCTGTGTCTGTCTTGCAGCCGGCAGAGTGCACGTGGCCACCAGCTTGGGGACTGCGAGGAAGGCTGAGTGATGCTCTCTGGTAGGTCTGTCTGCACAGAGGGTATTCTCAGGAATAAACTTGTATCTTAACCACATAAGTGCAAAAACCAAAGCGGGACTTTGTAAGTCCAAATCAAAGGTTTGCGCCAAGACAACCATAATCTAAGTAGAAAGCGAAGGGATTATAATTGCAGTTTTTCTGGCAATTTGGAGGTTTCTATGTGTTTGGTTTGGGGGTGGACAGCAAGAACAATGAAATGCATGGTGAAGTAAATGAGAATCCCACACTGGTTCCTTTCCTTCTCCAGTCAGAGAAGGAACCAGTTTAAAACTCACCTTTCCCTCACTTGCCTTGATAGAAGAGATGCAGTCCAGCCAGAAGTTTGGGTCATTGGCCCCTGAATGCAGAAATGTGGGGAGGTACCAGTGTCTTTTGAAGGCTGTTCCCAAGTGATGCTATTTTTACAAGCATACAATAGAAATACTGTCGGTTGAAAAAAGTCTTCATCAACCAGTAAGTTATCTCTATTCTGACCATTGCCATGAAACCCTCAAAATAGAATTACTTGAAGGAAACATAGATATGGTGGCACTTTTTGAGTGGAAGGGAGAAGCTTATGAAATTTACAATCTGATGCTGCTAGAACTTAGGGCACCTGCCTGCCTGCATCAACCAGATGCAACTGTGTTAACAGTTTTATTGGGACCAAGGAGAAAAGATATCCTTGAATCTTGGTGGTATAATTCTCTAGGCACTAAGTTTTCCTATTTGATAAAACAATACCAACCCCTCCCTCTCCAAAATAAAACCAATTTTAACAACAAAATTCTGTCCAATAAACTCATCATTCCTTGAAGCAATAGCTCCCCCTACTGGATCACTGCCCTCTAATTTCAATATACAGTGGAAACTCAGTTCATGAGCTTAATTCTGAAAAACTATTTGAGAAGCAATCTGTTCAAAAACAATCTCCTTTGTTGCCTGAGAGGCACATAACTGATCATATAATCAACATAAAAGGGTTGTAGGGTAGAGAATTGAGACCCGAAGTTTTGTTAGACAATGGAGACATTTTTTTCCTGTGAGCAATTCGGTAGAGAATGGAGTTGTTTTTGAGAACCAAGGCATTTGAGAGCCAAGGTTTGACTGTATTCTATCTAAATGCTGCTGCTTAGGGATAGATTTCATTTTAAACTTAATGTTTTACCCCCCTCCCCCCCCCAAAAAAATTGCGCCACTATGAAGTGGTATAAACAGCACATGAAGAAAGAAGAACTGGGGGCCCACAATGTAGCTTGTGAGTCACTGGGGTAGCATGTGTGGGCACCTGTTGTGTGCAGGCAGACACTGCCAGGCGCTTCACCATGGTGTTCAGCTCTCACAATGCATGTAAGGTAGATGGCGCCAACTCATTTCATTGGTGAGCAAAGTAGCTCTGATTCCTGGGCAGTGTGAAAGGTGAGCAGTGGCCCAAGCACAACCAGTGTGCTGACAGCCAGCTTGGTTTCCACTTCCAGCTGAGTGTGTAGATGGTGTGGTGCACAGCTAGCTCCAAGGGCTCAGCACTTGGAGCAAGGCAAGTGCTCAATAAATAGGTAGATAAATGTATCATTTAGAAAAAAAGAACAAAGAAAGGCTGCTTATATAGATCGTAAAATGGAAAGCCAGTTCCTTCATTGGGAATGTTCTAACTTTGACCAAACTAAGTAAACTAACAATGCAGATAGTTTGTTCTCCTTACCCATTCTTGTTTCACCGTGTCTGAGCATGGGTGAAAGATGATACACAACAGTGGTGATGGTTGAAACGACCATCCAAATCACCAGTTTGAAAGACAAGTTTTCTTTTTAATCTATGGATGTTTTGTTGTTCTTTTATCTGAATTGGCAACAAAAGGTTGCTCTGAACCTTCTGTTTCTGGACAACGTACTCTAGATACACCATCACTAGAGCTACCTAAAAAATCTCCCAAACTATACAGAACTATCTACAGGCACTTGGAAAATGCAGATTTTGTTCAGCAGTGTGTTTTCACACACAACTGTGAACAAGTAGTGAAAGTTGAAAGCCCTCTCAATGAACCTTGTGTCCAGATCAAGCGAAGGCTGAGGATGACTTGGGCAACCAGAGCTGTTTATTTCTGTGGCAGCTGCAGTTTGGGAGTGAAACATGTTAAAAAAAAAAAAAGGGGAGGGCCTACTTGGCTTGCTGGGGGAGAGGGATCACAGAAGAACAGAGGAGTTGACTTTATATATGAATACTTGATCTTAAATCATAAACTTCCACTATAAAATTAAGATAAAACATATCGTTTCCTCAAATTCAGTTGAGCCCATCAGAGAAATATACACAAGCAACATGCCTTCACCAACACTGTTTTAATCAACAGTGATTTAAAAAGAACTTGTCACTTTTACAAATTGTGTTCAGAGACAGACTTTCAGCTTAAAAAAGAGTAAGGATTTGGCTCACATTGCAGTATGTAGACAAAGAGGCACAATACCACATTCTGGATATTGCTCATTTGACCCACTTTCCCCTCCTATGTGGCTAGCTCCAGAAGCCCTTAAAACAGCCAACAGTTAAGTTCTTTTTGAGAGTTGGCAAAGATGTCACATTCCACATGTTGCCTTATCTCACCACCTCTTACCCACACATTGGCCCCGCTGATTTTGAAAAATGAAAAAAGTTAATTGAGTTAACCTGCAGCCATGGACACACTCATGAGTAAACCCAAGTCTGGGATTTCAGGGGTGGCTGTGGGGTGACAGGGACCTACCGCACTTCCCTTTTATTCCTCCAGCAGCCCCTGGAGATTGGCACCTGACAGATGGGCATGTCAGGTTCAGCCCTGTCCATCTGGTTGTGCTGGCAACTGGGGACAGGCTGGCTTCAGAGACTCAGGCACCTGCCAAAAAGAGTTTATCTGAAGAGTTCAACTGTGCTTCTTAAACCTAGCAGAGGAAGTGAAAATAAGGTTTATAAAACGTCTAGTGTCAAGTGAAAAATAATATATAATGGTTCAAAATCGCTAATATAAAAATAGTTTCTGCCCCTATAGAAAGCAAGTGGGTATATATTTTTATAAAAATGTTTTAAAAAGCATCTACCACCTACCTACGTGTGGAGGCTGTGGCCTCCTGCATGTCCTAGCATTGGTGTCCCCTGCAGAGAGAGGCTGGGCAGTGGGGCGGGGTCTGCAGCCTTGGCCACGTCCACCACCTGACGTACCCCGTCCCAGGGCCAGTTTCCCTACTCTAGGCCAACTCCCGTCAGTTCCCTCTGCCGGCGCCGAGAAGCTGGGACATCAGCGAGCTTGGCCTGCCCGGGTCACTGTCCTGCTCCCGGACGGACAGGCCTGCGCAGGTTCCTGTCCTGCTCTTGGTGGCCTGGGTGCCGGGTCCGCTCTTTTCCGTCGCGGTACCCCCCGGGATCGGCTGGCGCATCGTGGTCGGGCGCGGGAACGCAGGTGCAGCCCACAGGCACTGCCACGTACTCCTCGGTGTAGACTGAACGGCCCCCAGCGCAGCCCGGGGTGCGGCGCAGCACCACGGTGGGCAGCAGCACGGGCGCGCTGCGAAGGCTCAGGTCCTCCTCCCCGTGCGGCCCGGTCAGGCAGCCGCGGCACAAGCAGTAGGCCTCCGGTAGGAGCCGAGGGTAGCGGGTGGGGTCGTAGGACAGCCTGCAGAGAGAGGTGGGATCAGTGCATGCCTGTCAGAGCGCCTCGGTTCAGTGAGCGCTCAGGCAGCCCGCTGGTGGTCAGTACAAACTAAGGTGGCATACGCTCTGGTGGTGCCTAGGGGTCGGTGCGTGGAGAGCCAGTTCACGTAGGGTCAGTGCAGGCCCGGGGGTGGGGGGGCACTACAAAGTGGGCAGCCTAAGGGGTACTAGGTAGCACTGAGGTTACTGCTCACAGGAGCAAGGAAGGGTGGCCAGACACTTGACCTCTGGTAGTGTCCATGCGAGATCTGGATCTACAGAGGCAAAGGCAGACTTCACAGCTGGCCATTCCCTAAACCATTTTCAGACTCTGCACTAATGCCCCTAGAGAAACATCTCTACACTGTTCACATGCACACACAGGTGACCACAGAGCCAATGCAGTGTGATCAGACACCCTTTCTGTGCCAGAACCCCAACTCCAGCTATGAGGGGCCACCCCGATCAGAACTGCCTCCATTCCTGTGCCCGAGGCTCTGCAGCCTCAGAAGGTACTACCTGTTCCAGGGACCTGTCTGCACTGTCCCCACGACAGGTCAATTCGCACAGGGCTAGCTGGAATTTGCACGGGGCACCAGACCATGCAGACATGGGTCACCTGGCTGCTGAAAAAGTGGTGAATGAAAGAAGCTCTGAGATACCTGTCTAGAAGGCTGCAAGGTGAGCCCTGTGTCCATCTGTCAGGGTCCACATGCCCTATTCTGTGAAGCAGCACATGGCAGGCCTGGCCAGTGTGGGACATTTGAACTGCATAAAGGTGTACACTTGGTCATCTTCATCCTCACTCAGGCCTCCCTATTTTCAGGTGAGATGCCAAGGTCTGAGCGTCAACAGCTACAAACAGCTGCTGCCACACTGTGAAGGGTCTGGGTTCCCTGGGGAACAATAGCCCCAGGCCTGGCTATGGCCTCCAGGCCAGGAAAAAGCAAGGAAGACATTAATGCAGAGAGACAGATTATCCCCCTTTCTCATGGGATCACCATGATTCTAAATTCTCGTTTCCACTAATCTACCCATTTAAAACTTATATACTCATTTTATGAATGTTTCTCTTTCCTCTGGAGCTGAGTGCAAGGGACCCTAAATTTTCTCAGAATCACAGCTACAACTTCTCCAACCTCTCAAGCAGCACACTCCACCTGCAGGCCTGCCATGTGCTAGAGCGGGAGGCTCCCAAAGTGCTGCTGCCTAATGGGAGTCTGGGATAAACCAAAAAATGGTATGTGCTTAAAGGTTTCTGAAGCCTAGACCTTTGGGTGTGTGCTGGTTTTCGTCCACCCCTTTTACCAAGTGCTCCTGCCAGCAGTGAGGCTGTGGTGCTGCAGGCACCTGAGGAGGGCCTGGCAGGGCTACCCTGACCCCTGTGGCTTGTATAAGTCCTTCAAGTGACTGGTTCTGTGGACTAGTCCTCACTGCTAATGACTAAAATACAGCAGTCAGGTTGAAAGGTCTTCAGGGAGGGTATGCTGGGACCACCTAGTGAAAGAGTGGGCAAGGGCGGCAGGGTCTGGGAGGGGTGGGCTGGGGGAGGGACAGCTGAACCTGTTGCAGGAGGAGTGAAGTGGGAGATGTGGCCTGGAGGGAGTGACAGACTTAAAGGATGTTCTCCATGGAGGAGACTGCCCCTGCCACTAAGACAAGTGTTCACTCTGAGTGGCCTGAAGGGGGTGGATGGCTCTGGGCAGGTAAGGAGGGTACGTGAGGCCTACTTTTGCTTGAGTCGAACACCTTTACACATGGATGATGAGGATGGCTGGGCAGAAGAATGTGAAGTGATATCTTCATGCTGTGACAAATTTACACCACACTAACTATGTGCCATTTACAGAGTGGGAAAGAGCTAAGATGGTTTTGCCTAAAGGGAGGTGCTGTGTGGGCATCCACAGCCCGGAGTCAGGTGACACCTGATGCATGTAGAAGGGAGGACTCAGGGATGCAGGTGCTGGCAGGGTGCTCTAAGAGGGTGGGTCACAGTCCAACCAGCAGACCATGCCCCACCTGCCACTGGAGCATTCTAAAGCTGAGAGGAACATTCCTGTTTGAGTGTGGGGACTAGGTAGCAGGGACTCCAAGGCTGCCATTCGGGGTAACCAGAAGGATATGGGTAGTAATGGGGGAGCGAGGAGGCCTCAGGAACAGGCAACCCTGGGGGTGGTGAGCACACAGGCATGATCCCCTCCCGTAACTCCCCTCCCACTGTTGCACCTGGAGGAGAGAGGCAGCCTCCACCGTGAATTCTAATGCATTTGTCGTGTGCAATCAAGAGGGGACAGTGGGGCTGTCTGCAAAATGCAAGTGTCTCTGTCACCCAGGTCCTTGCATTGAAAGCGCCCACCTCTTTGCAGCCTGACATGCACACAGACGGCTGAAATTAGATGTTTCATTTGTCATCACTCCTGCTGCCTTGGCACTGCCATCCAGGCTTTTATAGCACAGTGACCTCTGTCCTTGTGAGGACTGACAAGGCTGTCCAGCTGGCTTTTCCAACCTTTCCACCTCTTCTGCAATGCCTCATTCCTACCCACAACGGGGTGCTGAGACACAGGCTCCCTGGGGCCCCTCATGCTGGGGTTCTTGTCAGGAAAAGTCCCAAGTCTTCTGCTTTGCCTTCAGAGGCCTGCACAGCGTGGTCCTTCATGGTCCCATCCCTGTCCCTCTTCACCGTCCTTCCCTCTGAGCAGTGGGACATGCCCGCATATGCTGCAACTAAGCTCTGCTCAGGATTCCCCTTCCCAAAACTAGTATCAGCTCAGAGAAGACCCACCATATTTAAGGCCTAATTCAAGTCAATATCTTAAGAGTTTTCAAATTTCCTTAGTCAAATGTCTTGTGCTCCTTGCCCATATTCTCATAACACTCTGGGCCTCTCAGAGGAGAGATGTTGAGTAGATGATGGTGTCCCATTCTTCACGCCTGGAGGTCAACATAAGGCCCTACCTGAACTCTCCAAGGAAGGGGAATTCCTAAAACCTCCAGTCACTTTCAACATTTATTCCAAAAACACCTGAGTGCTGTGATGTTTTGGGCAATGGGGTGTCAATGAAACATATCTACTAGCCAAGGCCTCATCTGGGGGATAAATGCACAAAGAAATACCTACACAGTTGGCCCTGCACAGTAGCTCAGGGAGGCTTCCTAGCAAATGTGGTCCCTGGGCTGGTCTGTTGGGAGGAAGGAAGGAAGGAAGGAAGGAAGGAAGGAAGGAAGGAAGGAAGGAAGGAAGGAAGGAAAGGAAGAAGGAAAAAGGCAGGCAGGGCAGAGGCCAAAGTCAAGAGCACAGAAGGACAACAGATGAGGCTGGGAGACATAGAGCTGGGCCAGCAAGGGTCTTGATTCAGAGCAGAGAACTTTGCTTTAACCTTGAAGGTGATGGGAAGAGTGTCAAAGAGGGAAGCGACCTGATTAGATCGAATTTTAATGGGTCCCTCAGGCAGTGGGATGGAGAATGATCTGGAGCCAAGAGAGGTGCTGATGGAAGTAGAGATTTGCAAATTATTAGCATATAGAATGTAGTTAAACAAAATCATTCAAGGCAGTGTGTGGAGGGAGATATACCAAGCAAAAGGCAGGAAAACCAACTTTTAAGGGAGAAGAAGTCTAACTGTGGAGACTAACAGGGCAGCAGTGCATTCCCTGGAGCCAAGAAGGGCAGAGGCTGGAGAAGAGGCTGGCCCAGAGCCCAACTGGAATCTGCTTTAGCTGATTTACTGTTAATATAGGGATGGATAACACACTAAAGAATACTGTGAGGGTATGACCAACAACATATAGAATGTAGAAAACTCAGCATATGTTTCATTACAAAGGGAAAAAAGAGGGAAGGGGACCTGCCCTCTTTTAAAGAGTTGTGGGAAACCATCAACAAAATGAAAAGGCAGCCTATTGAATGGGAGAAGATACTTTCGAATCACACATCCGGTAAGCAGTTAACTTCCAAAATATATAAACAACTCATACAATTTAATAGCAAAATACCAAACAATGAAATTTAAAAAATGGACAGAGGAATTGAGTAGATATGTTTCCAGAGAACACACACAGATGACCAGCAGGTGCATGAGAAGATGCTCAACATCACTGGCAATCAGGGAGATGCAAATTAAAACCACAATGAGATACCATCTCACACCTATGACAATGGCTGTCATCAAAAAACCAACAAACAACAAACACTGGCAAGAATGTGGAGAAAGGGGAACCCTTGTGCACTCTTGGTGGGAATACAGATTGGTGTGGCCACTGTAAAAGCAATATGAAGATACATCAAAAAATTAAAAATAGAACTAACATATGACCCAGCGATCCCACTTTTGGGTATTTACTCAAAGGAAACAAAAAGAGTAATTTAAAAAGATATGTGTACCCTTATGTTCACCGCAGCTTATTTACAATAGCTAAGATGTGGAAGCAAACCAAGTGTCCATCAATTGATGATGGGATAAAGAAGGGGTGATATATGTACACAATGGAATATTACTCAGCTACAAAAAGAATGAATCTTACCATTTGCAATAACATGGATGGACACAAGGTATTATGCTGAATGAAATAAGTCAGTCAGAGAAAGATAAACACCATACGATTTCACTCATATGTGGAGTGTAAAAAGAAAACAAAAACCCAAGCTCACAGATACAGAGAACAGGTTGCTGGTTGCCAGAGGGATGGGCATGGGGATGGGTGAGATGGATGAAGGGGGTGAAAAGGTACAAACTTCAAGTTATAAAATAAATAAGTCCTAGGATGGAATGTAGAACATGGTGACTACAGTTAACAATACTGTATTGTCTACTTGAAAGTTTCTAATAGAGTAAATTTCAGCACAAGAAAAAAACTGTATGTGGTGATGGAGGCTAATCAGACTTACTGTGGTGACCACTTTGCAATACATACATATATCGAATCATTGTTATTTGCCTGAAACTAATATAATGTTGCATGTCAATTATACCTCAATAACAA